CCTGAGCTGCCTTTTGTAGAAAGACAGCCTTTTCTGTGCAGGACACACCCAAGGAATAAATGGGTAATTCTGCACTTTATTGTTAATGTAAAGGAAGACGGATAGGGATGTCCTGGCCAGCATGGGTGTCAGAGTTCTGGTGTCACCAGAAGAGCCCGTCTTCCACTTGCTCCTGGAGAATGAAGATTCTCTTGGACTCCAGCACAGTCTTCATGCGAAGGCTTTCCTGGGTAGGAGGGATGTTTATGCCCTTTAGTATTTTCCTCTGATTCCTCCTCAGTTTTGCTCTCTTATTGTTAAACCAATCCTCAAATCAGAGGGAAAAAGTTGCTAGACCACTGGTAATAGTTTCTTAAGTTTAAATCTTTTTCTTTTAAATTAAGTTTAAATCTTTTTCTTTGATAGGGTCTTCCTTTATCCTGGAGAAACATATTTTGAGCATTTATTTTAATGTTTCAGAATGTCAGGCAATTCAGGATTATGTCTACTAATATTCACATGTAAGTTTCTATGTTCTATATGAACATCAGTATTTAGAGAAATATTGGCTTTGTCTCCTACACAATTGTTGACTTTCAGAATCTTTAATATGCAAAACCCTTACTTTGAATTAGTGTGAATAAAGAGGTCTTCAAATATTTAAGGCTAAAAATTAGCCAGTGGAAACTTACAGTATTTTAAAAATTTTGTGTAGCAAAGGAAAAAATCAATTGAGTGACAAGGAAATCCATAAAATTGGAAAGGATACTTGCCAGTTAGTATCTGATAGAAGACTACTATCTGTAATATACGAAGAACTTTAAAAATAAAGAGAAAATAAACTGAGTTTAAATGAGCGGTGGCTCTAAGCAGAGTTATCTAAAGAAGAAATAAAATGGCAAAGAAATATTCCAGGTGTAGCCAACATCCCTAGCAATTAGGGAAATGCAATGCAGTATTACTTTCAGATTTCCTTAGCATCTTTTAAACGTTATGTAAGCACAATGACCATCATGGCTACATTTCCCTAAACGTATAATAGTATAGGTATTCTATCTTGGAGGGAGCCAAAATTGTCTAATTGTACTTAAGGCCTGTTGAACAAGAGATAAATTATGCTTAGAATTGTAAATCCAGTCAACTCTGTGTGGCTAGTGAGGTCACAGCTCTGAGAGCTGAACCTACCATCGCCACTTCCTTAAACTAGTATAATTTCTAACTTCACTTTAATGTTGTACCCACAGGTAAGGGTAGATCTTACCCACAATCAAAGAAGAATCTTTTTGCATCTGCAGACCATTATATAAAGCCACAACTGACCATAATGCAGAGAATAACTTACCAGCCCCAACTTATCATTTACAACACAACTTATATTTCTTAAAGCTCAGGGAACATGGAGAAATAGGGAGCAGAATGATCCAGAAGATCAGGAAGTCTGCTGTGAGATTGTGTCTTCTCAATATAAAAAGGAAGCTATACCCATGAAAGATTGCTCTCTAAACAAAATTTTTACAATTCTAACACCAGTTAACATCCCAACATTAATGAGTAAAATCTCACTAGGTTCCAAATGAAGTGCTGTAAGCAATTATCAGTTGCTGATAAAAGTAGAACGAACGAGGCCTTTAATTGGTTATCCAATGCAAAGCTACACTAAAGAGACTCAGCGTGTTGAATTTATATGCTTGTTCACATGTATGTAACAACAATAATAAAAGAAAAGAGGTCATGAATTTGAGAGAAAGTGGAAGGATTGTATAGGTGAGAGGAACAAGGAGGGGAGAAATTATGTAATTATATTTTAATTAAATTCAATTTCAAAACTGTGTAAAGTACAACATTAAGCTCAGACTCTCTATTCAAGAGACCATAACCATGCATATAGCTTGATGTAGTTTTGTTTCTTCCCAAATCATCCCAACATCAAAAGTTCTTTTACACATTCCCAAGACCTCTGCTCATGTGAATGAGAAAATCCAAGAATTTCTTTAGAACTGTTTCTCATCTGTATTAGTCTCCTGAGGTATCAATACATTTATACATCTGAAAGCAAAGATGAGTGGTGAGAGTGGATCCTGTTGTATTGTTGAACAACTCCTTCAGGGAAGGTCAATGTCATTTCCATTGACTATTCAAGATTAATTCCCCTCAGCCAACCATGGAGAGAATAATACTGCAGGATTATGAGTGAGGATGAAGCTACCATCAAAGGTAGGTAAACTCTTTATACATGAACTAAACTCTTCAGAAATCAAAGAGTTCAATGTCCTAGATCTCATCTGGGTCACCAAGGGACACTATCCAGATCATAGATAGAGAGTCAGGAACAGCAAAGTTACTTTAACAAGATTTATCTGAAGCCACACAGCAGCTTGGGGTAAGGTCACCAATAGTAGAAGTGTGGTAGACAGGGCAATGACCTCTTAAGGACCCTGTAAATCTCCTAACTTGGGACTCTCGTACATGGATCCAGAAAATTCTAGAAACCCAGTGACTCCTGAATGTAATAAGTGTGGTCCATAACAAAACGAACAACCCCTCGCCCCCCAAAAAAGAAGGAACCTTCACTTCTGGAAGGCTACATGGTATACTAAATGAGACCTCTTTAAACCTTTTAAACTGTGATCCTTTTGGACCTGAACTTTTGTGTTATCAAAGGTAAACAGCCACGAAACACCCATATTCAAATCAAATGCTTACTAATAATAAACTATGAAGAATTTTACTTTAAAATGATTGACTATATACTGTAACAGGGTCCATATACCTTAATAGGTCCCTAGACTTTTACATAACTGACTCCATGGTGGAGGTACCATGCAGGCTGTAAAACTCAGCTTGTAGACAGCACCACCTGTCAAAATAAAAACAAAGACCTAAATCATCAAAGTCCGTAGTTTTGGTAAAGTCTCCAAAAATACTAAACTGTTTTTGTTTGTTGTTTTGGTTTCAGTAGTTCTGCTTCTGGCCAACTATTCTTGTTAATTGAAATATATCAATACAGAATATGGTTTTTATGCTTAAAAGCTCATTCTGAGAAAGGCTCAGAACTACACTGACATCCCAAACTCTTGAACTCATGTCCAAGCAGTCTTTTCTAGCGGGTACAACATATACATACATGTAAATTATTATACTATTTGTTAAAATTGAAAAGATCTTCATGGTTACACAGGTGTGCTTTCATTCTTTTTACCCAGAATTAAATTGTGGCCTAACTTGGTTTTCTGGGATGTAAAGAATCAGCCAATATTTTTCAGAGTTGATAGCTATTGTTATTTTGACTTTGTAATTTCTAATAGTGAGAATGATGCTTCAAGTAATTGGTAGTACAAAATGATGAAGATTCATTTAGGGCCAAAAATGGAAATTACATCCTAATAAATAGTTTACTTAATTATCTTACTTTTATTAATATCCTGTCTCCACTCTAAATCACTTTAAAATGCATTCTAAGCCATTGTCAAGATCCCCTCTTAGACCCAGGGAAACTCTTTAGCTCAGGTCCAACTATGGGTCCATTTCTCAAACAAGTCAGAAAACTAGCATTCAGCTTCAAGTGTCCCTTTTTGCCACGCTGTCTATGACAAGTATCTTATTCCATGGGATGAAGCCACACACAAGTTTGTGTCCTCACTCATCCCTTGTATGCCTAAACTACAGCCTCATCCAGGGTTGTCAGTGGAAAACCAATAGCAGCGGTGGAGAAGGGCACGTGTGCATGTCAGAGAGGGATGTGTTCTGCCTAAGGCAACAATTTTCGCGTAGAGAACCCAGAAAGTTCCTCAGTGGGCTTCAAGGAGCACAGTCTTTGTGGAAGCCAAAGGGGGGTGCCTTCGTCCGAGCTCAGTCATGGCCCGCAAGTACTTCTACTTCGACTACGATTATTATGGGATGAACTTCTATGAGGAAGAAATCATGACTGAACCTGAGGAAAACGTGAGCTACACAGCAATCAGTAGCGGCTTTAACAGAGGAGAAGCAGACACTCTGAACGAGCTGTCCTGTGAGGGCTACCAGAACTCTCTAAGTGACCACAACTACCAAAGCCGTGACACGACTAACACCTGGAACACTGAGCAAGAAAAACCAGAGGAGGCCAGGGATGTGGTCTGGACCAGAGAGCAGCCATCATTCAAAATTCCTCAGAAACCATACAAATTCACGCCTGGGCAGCTGTGGGAACTTCAGGCAGTGTTCGAAGAAACTCAGTATCCAGATTCTCTCAGACGGTGTGTACGGGGTCTGTCTTTCAGGACTTTTCCTTTCCCTGGGCCTCTCCTCACTCTTGTTAAAAGTTTTTAATGTCTTTGAGATTCAGCATGTAGATTCACTCAGGTTAGGCTTAGTAGCTTTGCCACTGAGGTAAAAGCTCCTCAGAGAATTTCAGGATGTAACAGCCTCGGTGGACGCCACAGGAGTACGCCCTCTGGCGGGCTTGGGCTTTATCTACACTATGAGGAAGAAAAAATGACTGAACTTAATCAAAGGGTAACCTACTCAGCAGGTGGCGGAGGCTTTTTTCGAAGTATTCCTGCAGGTACCTTGCTTCCTTGTAAGGATTACTAGAGCCCTGTAGGTGACCACAACCTTTTTAGTTTTGTTAGAATCGTGGCCTGAGTTGTGCAGCCTGGCCTTGAACCAACTCTGTACACCGGTCAGCCTTTGAGCTTGTGATCCTACCGTCTCAACCTCTTCAGTAGCTGAAATTACTGGTTTGTGCCAGCAGGATTCACTTCCTTCCCCTCTTTTTCCTTGAAACCACTAAGTTTTCAGCTGACTCTATGGTGGTGGTTGGAGAGAGTTACATAGAGGTTCTGGGTAGAGTCTGTTTTTTCTATCCATTAAAGAATTTAAAGACAGAAAAGATCCCAGACAATGGGTAACAACTTATTAAAATTGAAGTAAGACTCACACACAGCAAGGCATGCAGAGAGACACTCCCCACGAAGTAAAGAGGGGAGTCACGGGTGGGGGCAGGGCCAGGAATTTTCAGCTGACCAAGCTGCTCATTTTACATTGCTCATCTTAGAGAAAGAGAGGGAAGCTGACAGGTTCACAAGTTCTTGTAAACTGAAACATGTTTAGGGCAGGCCTTAAATGTACTTGACCAGGCTGAAGTAGTCAGCAAAAGGCAGGGGGAAAAAAAGCCCAATTGGCCTTTGTCTAAGATAAAGAGTGTGAGCAAAAAGCGGACAGTTTGTTATCTTATTAGATTGAGGCCTCCTTACCTATCTGTCTGCTGGTCAGAGATCTGTTGAGTTTTTAGTCCCTCAAGAAAATGCCTCTCTTGATAACCAAGGTTAAAATTTTCATGCACTAATGGTGTAAACTGGTCCTCCAAAATGCTCACTGACCACTCTTTTGGTTCCTTTCATTTAGAAAATGTCCTCAAACATGGAAATATAAAAACCATTGCTTACACCAAATATGAAGGTCAAAACTCAGGTGGTTTGGGGATCTCTGGGAGTCTATGACACCAAAGGAAAACCTGCACATATTAAACAACTGCCATTTCTTCGTAGGTAGTCTCCAACCACCACTTTCCTGCTTTATTAATCCTCTCTATGTGACTTGTCTAGGCATAAGGAAAACCAGGCAGGATGTGTTCTTTCTGAACTAACCTGCTTCAACTGGCATGTCTTCAAGCCTTGTCAGTGTGCTCACATCTGGCTGAATTTCTGCCTTCTAGGGGGTGAATTATATCCCAAAGACCCCTTTTTCATATAAATGACATACAATTTGGTGGTAGACTCCTTTGCCTAGCATATGCGGAACTGTAGTTTCAATTCCCAAAGCCACAAAATTATGTATAATTTGTATGTGGCAGATTTAAGCATTTATTCCTTCCATAGTACATTAATATTAACAGCTAGACCATACAGCACTAATAAGTCTTTAATTTTCAGGCAATGTAAAATCACTCCCAAACACAGCTCCTTCTAAGAGTTACTGAAATGCATACTTGCAGAGGTGTGAGAGGAGTTAACAAATTTTAAATTATTAAAATATTTTATACAATGTATTGTAATTACATTCTTCCCCTCCCCCAACTCCTCCCAGATCCTCCCTACTCATTCAAGTACATGAACAGTTCTCTTTCTCAAAAAAGAAAGAAAACACAACAAAACAGGAAAACCGACAAAACCAAAACCCAAATCAAAGCAGACACACTTTAAAACAAAAAAGAAAACAAGGCAAAAAGTAACAAAATGTGTGAACAACATGTTCTCATGCACACACACATAAACACACACACAAATAAACAAAAAACAACACCTGAAGTCTCTTTTTTTTATAAATCTTTTATTTTTTTTTATTAATTACACTTTATTCATTTTGTATCCCCCCATGAGCCCCTCCCTCCTCCCCTGCCGATCCCACCCTCCCTCCCCTTTCTGCATGCATGCCACTCCCCAAGTCCACTGATAGGGGAGGTCCTCCTCTCCTTCTTTCTGATCTTAGTCTATCAGTTCTCATCAAAAGTGGCTGCATTGTCCTCTACTGTGGCCTGGTAAGGCTGCTCCCCCCTCAGGGGGAAGTGATCAACGAGCAGGCCAATCAGATTATGTCAGAGGCAGTCCCTCTTCCCATTACTATGGAACCCACTTGGACACTGAACTGCCATGGGCTACACCTGTGCAGGGGTTCCAGGTCATCTCCACAAATAGTCCTTGGTTGGAGTATGAGTCTCTGGGAAGTTCCCTGTGTTCAAATTATCTTGTTCTGTTGCTCTGCTTGTGGAGTTCCCGTTCCCTCCAGCTCTTACTATTTCCCACTTCTTACATAAAATTCCATTCACTCTGCCCATCAGTTGGCCATCAGGCTCAGCATCTGCTTTGACAGTCTATACTGCAGAAGCTTTCAGAGGCCCTCTGTGGCAGGTTTCAAGGTTGTTTCCTGTTTTCTTCTGGCTTTCAGAGGCCCTCTGTAGCGGGTTGTTTCCTATTTTCTTTTTCTTCTGATGTCCATCCTCTTTGCCTTTCAGGATGGGGATTGAACATTTTAGTTAGGGTCCTCTCCTTTGCTTAGTTTGTTTAGATGTACAGCTTTTAGTGGGTTTATTCTATATTGTATGTTTATATGAGTGAGTATATACCGTGAGTGTCTTTTTGCTTCTGGGTCAACTCACTCAGACTGAAGTCTCTTTTGTGTTGCTCAACTACTCCTGGACATGCTACCTGCCCTGGAGAATTGTGGGGATGATGTTGTCTTTTGTCATACAGAAGCTTTTCAGTTTCATGAGGTCCCATTTATTTATTTTTATTTTTTTATTTTTTTAATATTAGTTACAGAAGAAGAAAACAGGAAACAAGTTAGGAACCTGCCACAGAGGGCCTCTGAAAGGCTCTATCCTGCAGACTATCAAAGCAGATGCTGAGACTTATGGCCAACTGTTGGGCAGAGTGCATGGAATCTTATGAAAGAAGTGGGAAATAGTAAGATCTGGAGAGGACAGGAACTCCACAGGGAGAGCAACAGAACCAGAAAATTTGAACACAGGGGTCTTTCCAGAGACTCATACTCCAATCAAGTACCATGCATGGAGATAACCTAGAACCCCTGCACAGATGTAGCCCATGGCAGTTCAGTGTCCAAATGGCTTCCATAGTAATTGGAAGAGGGACTGCCTCTGATATAAACTGATTGGCCTGATCTTTGATCACCTCCCCCTAAGGGGGGAGCAGCCTTACCAGGCCACAGAAGATGACAGTGCAGCCACTCCTGATGTGATCTGATAGACTAAGATCAGAAGGAAGGAGAGGAGGACCTCCCCTATCAGTGGACTTGGGGAGCGGCATGTGTGAAGAAGGGGGAGGGAATGTGAGATTAGGAGGTGCGGAGGGAGGGGCTTATGGGGGGATACAAAGTGAATAAAGTATAATTAATAAAAGTTAAACAAAAAGACCCCTGTGCCCAGATATATTTGGTCCTTGTGGAGCTCCTGTCCTCTCCAGGTCATATTAACTCCCCCCCCACGTCTTTTTTTTATGATTCCCTGCACTCTGCCGAAGGTTTGGTTATGAGTCTTAGTATCTGCTTTGATGCACTGCTAGGTAGAGTCTTTCACAGGCCCTCTGTGATAGGCTCCTGTCCTGTTACTTGTTTGCTCTTACATCCAATGTCCATCCCATTTGTCTTTCTAAGTGAGGATTGATCATCTTACCCTGGGTCCTCTTTCTTGTTTATCTTCTTTAGGTATATAGATTTCAGTATGTTTATTATGTCTTACAGGTCTATATAAGTGAGTATATATCATGTGTGTCTTTCTGCTTTTGGGATACCTCACTCAGGATGATCGTTTCTAGGTCCCACCATTTGCCTGCAAATTTCATGATTTCCTCGTTTTTTAATTGCTGAGTAGCATTCCATTGTGTAGATGTACCACAATTTCTGCATCCATCCCTCCGTTGATGGACATCTGGGTTGTTTCCAGGTTCTGGCTATTACAAATAAAGCTGCTACAAACATGGTTGAGCAAATGTACTTATTGTGTACTTGAGTATCTTTTGGATATATGCCTAGGAGTGGTATAGCTGGATCTTGAGGAAGCACTATTCCTAATTGTCTGAAAAAGGGCTAGACTGATTTCCAAATTGGTTGTACAAGTTTGCATTCCCACCAGCAGTGGAGGAGGGTTCCCCTTTCTCCACAACCTCTCCAGCATGTGTTGTCACTTGAGTTTTTGATCTTAGCCATTCTGATGGGTGTAAGGTGAAATCTCAGGGCCGTTTTGATTTGCATCTCTCTGATGGCTAAGGGAGGTCCCATTTATTAATTGTTAATCTTAGAGCCTGAGCTCTTGGTGTTCTGTTCATCGAGTTGTCTCCTGTGACAGTATGTTCAAAATCATTCTCCACTTTCTCTTCTGTCAGGTTCAGTGTATCTGGCTTTATGTTGAAGTTTTTGACCCACTTGGACTTGAGTTTTGTGCAAGGTGGTAGATATGGATCATTTGCAATCTTCTATGTGTAGAATACCAGCAATATTTGTTGAAGATACTTCCTTTTCTTAGTGTGTATTTCTGTCTTCTTTATCAAAAATCAGGTGCCCATTTGTGTGTGGATTTACATCTGGGTCTTCAATTCAATTCTTTTGATCAACATGTTTGTTTTTAAGCCAATACCATGTTGTTTTTATTACTGTAGCTCTGTAACACTGCTTAAGGTTAGGGATGGTGAAACATTAAGAAATTCTTTCATTATTCAAGATTGTTATCCTATAGTACTTA